TAATCTCATGAGTTAAAAAAAATATATATAAAAAATGAATATATAAGCTCTCCATACTAAAAAGCTAATATTTTTGACACAATGTAGATGTTGCATATTAGTTTTTATTACCACCAAATCGTATTCCATAAATGTCACTTATAATCTCCCTTTGGTTATCGTTTTCTCTTCAAACGTACGAAGTTCTATACCAAAAACAAGGACAAACGAGAGAAGGATATCGATTTGAATCCGAATAACAAAGACAAGATAACTTTATTTACATGGACACCTGGTTTCTGGATTGAGACATGTAATTTAATTTGTTAACAAAATAATGAGGACAAAGACTTGAGATGATCATAATAGTGATCGACAATATAATGATTTTCGATTAGTAAAATGACCACACAAAAAAAAATGAATGACGTGGCAAGTATGGATCATATGTATGTGGATTAGTTAGTTTAGTGTGAGAGAGCAAGTCTCTGCTTTCTCACCTAAAACACTCTTCTTTCTTCCAACAACACATGTCCATACTATTTCACTTCGATTGTGGACCACATGCAATGAACATTACACAGATCGAATTTTTTAGTCTTAACCTGTACAGATTATGTCAAATGGATCACTAGTTATATCAAACTCTGTTTCAGTGTGAGTGAATAAAAGATCCATAAAATGAAATATGTAATCGGATAATAATCTTTATACACCACTAAACGGGTGGGTGAACAAGAGACACACGAGACGAAAAGGTCCAAAACAGCATATACTTCAAAAGTTAAGACAGAACTCTCAAAAATTAAATAAAAAACATCAGAAAGTGATTCTATTGATTCATCAGAAATCAAAGATTCCAATTTGATCTTTAAAACACTTCTACACATATATATTATAAAATACTTGGAGATGGATAAATGAGATCATCTCAATTTCACGAATCTGTCACTTTTGGTGCAGCCATGTTAACTGCAACTTTCCCATCTGGTCCGGTTCTCAGATCAGTCGGTTGACCCATTCCCTGGTACTGCTGCTGAGAATGAGGTTGAGGTGGTTGCGGTTGGACCATCATGCCTTCACCAGCCACCGTGTAGTACACAGGTTTACCCATCTGTGAATATGGTTCCTGTAACCCTCCCATCGGGGGACCAACACTAGCCATAACTTGTGTACCACCTGAATAAGGTGACTGTGGTTGAACCACGTTGTAATTCTGCTGCTCCATGTATGCATCAGGATGATGCATTCTCTGAACAGGTGGGTAATAGCTTTGGTTTCCCTGTACTGTCGGTGGTCTCATAACGCTTTGGTATATTGTCCCTTGAGCTTGTGATTGAGCTGGAATCATATACACTTGCTGCTGTTCCGGTATATTCTGTGTGGTGGTAGTTGTGAATACGTTCCCTGGAATGTTGTTGTTTCCTTGCCAGTAGCTAATCGGAGGTTGTGGATTCGTCTGAGATACAGTCGCCGGCGTCGGATTTTGAGCGTATGTTGGAGAATAGTAACGTCCACTTTCATCTTCACTTTTTCTTCTGTACATAGCCTCTTGTTGTTGTTGTTGTTGTTGTTGTTGAAGCAGCTGATTCTGATACATAGCCTCTTGTTGTTGTTGTTGTTGTTGAAGCAGCTGATTCTGATGTATAGCCTCTTGTTGCAGCTGATTCTGATGTATAGCCTCTTGTTGCAGTTGTTGTTGATGATGAAGCTGATTCTGATGTATGGCTTCTTGTTGTTGTTGAAGCTGATTCTGATGTAACATTTGCTGCTGTTGTTGCTCATGATCTCTGATTTGAAATTCCTGGATTTGTCTTTGAATCTCTGCTGGATTTACGCTGTGATCCGGTTGTAACATCCGTTGATCTATGAACATCTGCGGCGGCGTTTCGATCACCACCGGTTCCGGTACAGGCTGAACCACCTTCACTGGAGACGGAGGAATTGGAGCAGATTTCTCCGGTCCAAACAAAAACTCAGCAGCGGATACAGATTTCTCTGATTCAGGTCGGCTAGGGATTGGATTAAGCGTATCCCGATCCGATTTAGTCGAACCTTCAGAGCCAAATCCGCCGGAGATGGGAGAAGAAGGGAAGAGAAACAAACGCATCCTAGCTGGTTTAGAGGATAGACGAAGCAACCTATCGTACTCATGCATCATGTGCTCTAGATCTTCATCGTTAGTCACTGAGATCAACGCATCTAAATCCTCACCAGGAAGCTGATACTTGAACGATACTTCACCTCCTCCGCCGGTGCAGACGACGGAGAGTTTGGAAGCCAAAGCGGGAAATCTGATGCCGCGATCGACGGACATGATTTTGGTATCTCCGTTAACATAAGTGAGCTGGTTATCATGAGGTCGCGGCTGGATCTTTCCGCCGTAACTGCACATGAGCTTCACCTTGTAGCTTTGTTGTTGCTGGTCCTCCCACGGCGGCGGATTTTCAAAGTCGACGTCGCGAGATCTAGGAGAAGATTCAGCTGAATCTGGATACGAGTTGTATGAGAATTTATCCATTTTTTTAAATATCTTCCCTTCTTCTTCTTCTTCTTCTTGCTTAATACATGAAAGCAAAAAAATATAGAGTAGAAATGGAGAAGACTAGGAAGATGGCTATTTTATCACGGTGGTGGTTTTGGGAAATGCTAACGTGACGGGGATAGTGTTTAGTGGTTTTGGCGTGAACTCCTTTGGTTGATTACACGTGGGAGTAAAGTATTGGTTGGAAGTGATAAGAATTGCGGTGACGGGGGTGTGAGGTTAGCTAAAAGTCATATGGACTTTTGCGGCATTTTTGTGAGGGCCCAATTAGTAGTGTTTTAATAGCGTGTTTGAGAGACAACAAACAAAAGCCATAGTTTGGAAGTTTGACTATTTCAATTAGTTAATTTACCATTTTAATCATATACAATGCATGTTCTTTAACCGGTGTCTTAGAAATAAAAGGGCAAAAAATAAATCAAAAATCAATATTAATAAGAGATATCTCTTAGTTAAGAAGTTTTGAAATAATTTTTTAGAGACACATGGTACAAGATAGTTACAAAAATTATTTAAATATGAAAAATTATAAAGTTTTATATAGTTTATAAAATACTTCTATATAATAAATATTACTGGGAGATTCGATACAAATATTTTATAATGTTTTAAAGTGTTTTAAATCTTTTATATAAGCTTTATAAAGTTTTTAAAAAGTTTTTAAAAGGGTTTATAAGGTTTTTAAAAGGTTCTTATAAATTACTTATACGCTATTTTATGAAATATATATAATTTTTTTGTGTATACTTATAAGGTCACACACATATATTTGGATAAATTTCAACATTTTGAATGATTTTTTGATAAAGTTTAAAAATTGAATATTTTAAAAAGTGGTATTTGAAAAGATGTATTTTTGAAATTATATTTCTCTTCCAACCAAAGATCTCTTCCAACCAAAAAAAAAAACTCTCCATCTCTCTCTCTCTCGTTCTCTCACGCAACAAAACAATTTCATCTCTTGTCTGATCTGGTTAAGAATATTTAACAAAACTTTGGCAACAATTAAAATATGATTTGTATTATGTGTTTTTATTATGGTTTAGTTATGTTTATATTATTTGTGTTACAAATTAATAATTTTTATGTTTTATAAAATTTTAGTTTTCAAATTTTTTTTAAGAACTCCAATTAAGAGTTTTACCATTGGAAATGGATAATTTTAATTATCTTCAAAAAATTCTTATTTTCAAAAATACACCATTTATTAGTAAAAAATTACTAAAATTTTTTGATAGTATACTACCATTGGACATGCTCTTCCGCATATATCAAATGTTAGTATTATTTTTGCTTAGAATATTTTCAACACGTAGGACGGTCATGAGCGTACATAATAAATACGTATACCTTCACTGTTTATATTCATTACTAACTACTAAATAATATTACTTATTGTTCAAACTATTTAAGACTGGAATTACTAATGTTTTAATGTTTTAATGTATTTAAATTAAAATAATAAGTTAATGTTTAATATAGTAAATGTGAAATAAGCAATTCTTTTACTAATTGACTATGACATGATTTTTTCCAGTTTTAATTTAAATTTTAATATCTTGAATTATTATACTATTAGTTTAGCTCTAAAATTTAAAAATAACTAATTGTTATAAGAATGAATACATTAAATATATATACAAAATTAATATTTAGATATTGGATATAAAAAAAAGAAATAAAAAAATTGGTCAACAATCGGTCAACGCTGGAGTCAACACCGGTCTTTGCCATAATTATTTGACTGATGTACCAGAACTATAAGTTTATGGTGTTGACTACATGATGTCGTATAGCTGATGCATGTGACCATGCAATACATCTATTTTGTGTAGCTGAATGTACAATAGTATACTTGACATGTGTGATTATGCATTCTCTAATAGTTTGTGTAGCTTGCGATCTTTTTTCCATAATAAAATTATAAGTCTCTCACAAGTGTTATATTTAAAATAAGCAAAAACGAAAACATTCCTCCGCGCTGTAGCGCGGGTACGATCCAAGCTGATATATTTTTAAACAGTAAATGGCGTTTCAAATATTGTAAAGCTAATATAAATGTGATTTCGAACGTTCTGACGGATGTGTTGAAAGCTTTTTCGTCTTACAACATGCATTGATAATTAGTATCACAGAAATTCCAAAAAGAAACGGATAAAATCAGTTTCTAGGATTTTTTTTCGATATCGAGAGTCGGTTTAGGGTTAAAAACTTTAAAAATTAGAAAAAAAAAATTTAATTTAGTTACAATTAACATTATTTTCAAAAATGAAAATTTTTAACAGATAACTAAACTGTTAAATAATCTTATCAGATTAATTAAACCGTAAGAATAGTATTTTATTTATTAAAGTAAAAACAATTGTAAGTTACAGTATTTAAAAATTTAATAAAAATTTAGACATTTAATTGACTACAAGTATACTTTCTTTCTTGGGAAGATTTGCACAACTAACCTTTTTATGATACTCTTTTCTACAAATACCCTCTCTATGTGTCTAATTTCAAAATTATCCTCTTCAATGTACAAAAAGACTAAATTACCCTCCTTTATTATAAATCATGATGAAAAAGGAATATTCTTTCTATTTCCAACAAAAAGAATATTCCTTCCAACAAAAAGAAGGAATATTCTTTCCAACAAAAAGAATATTCTTTCCAAAAAATTTCTGACAAAAAATTTTCCGCCAAAAATTTTAGCAAAAATTTTTCTGCAATTTCTTAAAAATCTTTTTAAAAACCTTGTAAATATTTTTAAATCCCTTAAAAAATCTTTTAAAAAACCTAGTAAATCTTTTAAAAGTTATCCAAAACCTTTCAAAACTTGAGTAAACCTTTTAAAATCATTGTTAATCATTTTATAACATTTATAAACACTTTTAAATCCCTTTAAACCCCTTATAACCGTGATAAATCATTTAATAAAAAATTTTATAAACTTCTAAAACTCTTTAAAAACCCTTGTAAATCCTTAAAACCCATTTTAAAGAACTTGTAATATATTTAAAAACTTTTGTAAACCCTTTAAAAACCTTTGTACACTTCTAAAACCCTTTAAAACCCCTTGTAAGTCCTTTAAAACTATTTTTAAATCTTTGTATGCCTTTAAATACACTTGTAAATCCTTTTAAAAACACTTGTAAATCCTTTTTAAAAACCTTTAAAAATCCTTGTAAATTTTTAAAATCCTTAAAAAATCCTTGTAAATCCTTTAAAAACTGTTATAAACTTATAAAAAACTTTTAAAAACCATTGTAAATCATTTAAAACCTTTAAAAAACCTTTGTAAGCTTCTAACCCTTTAAAAACCATTACAAATCTTTTAAAACCATTTAAAAACTCTTGTAAATCCCTTTAAAAACCCTTGTAAACCCTTTAAAAGACCCTTTAAAAATCTTGTAAACCCTTTAATAAATTTGGCGGGAAAATTTAATAAAAAAAAATTTTTTTGCGGGAAAATCTTTTGGCGGGAAATTTTTGGAAGGAATATTCCTTCCTTTGGGAAATAATATTCTTTCAACTAGGGGTAAAATGTCCATTAAAATTTAAGAGAGGACAAACTTGAAAATGGCAAAAAAAGAGGGTATGGGTATCATAAACATGTTATTGGTATCAATTTCTCTTCTTTCTTTACTAGGTAATGTCCCGCGCATATGTGCGGGTTGTTGTATATTTAGTTAATTAATTTTAAATTATTTATTAGTTATGGAAAATAGAATAAATACACTTCAATGCTTATGACATTTTTACACTTTATTTATTTAAATCATAAAATAGAAGCATACATCTATATCTCTTAAATTTATCCTTTGATTAATTGTTCAATTTTAATAGTAATTTTCTTTAGTACTTTTGAGTTTCTTTTGATAAAACAATAATATTGTTAATGATAAAAATAGAATGATATTGGGAGAATTTAAAAAATACCCTTTTCAAATTCAACTTTTTAAATTTACCCCCTTTTCAAAATTTATCAAAAAACCACTAAAATGTTGAAATTTATCCAAATATGTGTGTAAGCTTATAAATACACAGACAAATTACCTTTATGTGTGTATAATTTTTATTTATTTCAATGTCTTGCAAATTAGTTTGATAATTATATAACAAAACATTATTTTGTTAAAATAATTACATACTTTTGAAAATAAAATAAATAGACATGAATATGTAAGAAAGAAACAAACATCTAAAGTAAAATAATGAAGATGGTTTCTTTAGCTTGATTTTCTTATGGTGCGATGGTCGGAAATCAAAATTTTTGAATCTCATCGATAAAGTAATTTTTTATAGCCATAAAATAATATTATACATATGTATTATACATTTAATATTATAAGAAAACAATTACGAAATGAAGAAGTACATAAAACAAAGAAGAAATATTATTCAAAACAAAATATATATAAGGTTTTAAAAGGTTATAAACCAAATATATATAAGGTTTTAACCAAATATATATAAGGTTTTAAAAGGTTATAAACGGCATTTATAAGATTTTTATAAGGTTTTTAAAAGGTTTACAAGGTTTTTATAAGGTTTTTAAATGATTTTTAAAAGGTATTTATACGGTATTTATGAAATATATATGTAAATTTACACACATATAAAGATAATATGTGTCTTTAAATATAGGGAGAATTTCAAAAATACCCCTTTTCAAATACCACTTTTTAAAAATACGCTCTTTCTAATTTTATCAAAAAATCACTATAAATGTCGAAATTTATCAAAAATCTATGTGTAAGCTTATATTTAAGGGGGAATTTCAAAATACCCTTTTTCCAATACCACTTTTTAAAAATACCCCTCTTTCTAGTTTTATTAAAAAGTCACTATAAAATTTGAAATTTATCAAAAACATATATGTAAACTTATATTTATAGACACAAATTATCTTTATATGTGTGTAAATTTATATATATACTAGGTTCGGACCCGCACGTACGTGCGGGATTAATTTTAAAAACTAAGTTTATAATATATTTCATATGTGCGGAGTCATATTTGTAAATATAATTTTTGGGAATATTATTAACATTCATAATCCAAAGTT